TCTGTATACTGTTAAAGGAAAGATATTAACTTTTAATTGGTTTAAAGTATTCCCCTTATGGGATCAGATCTGACAAGCTGTATTAAGGTTCTGTTCAGTGTATAGCGTATGTGCTTTGGGAGAGAGATAGAAAGGACTCAACGCTGTATTTTCCTGCTGCACAACTTAGCTGTATGGGCCAAGCCATAATTTGTATGTAGTGTCATGTAGCAGGCCATTTGCCCTGTTGGTGATGAATCTCTAATCTAAACATTAACTTTTGAAATGCAGTATTGATAGTTCCTGGAGCCACCGGTTTGAATCCCAGCAATATTAACTCAGTCTTTCCTTCACTTAGTCCATGCCGGTAAACTAAGTGCCATGCAATGTGCTGGAATCAAGAAGGTAACTTTTCAGTGGAGATTTTCAAAACCAAGGTTCCATCTGTTCTTCAATATGCCATAGTCCTTTTTATATACTGGTCCTTGGCCCGGGTTCCTTTTTCACAACATGGTGGAAGGCACTGAGACAGTTTTCTGTTCTGGGGGGAAATGCTGCGTGCAGATGAAATATATTGTTAGATGAAATAGAGATATGCTTTCCTCTCTCACCTCTGGATTCTCCTATCATTTCTCTACCTGGGACCAGAACCATGCCAGCTGAGTTAAAATGAAGTAAAAACATCCTGCAGCATCTCTGAAGATTGTTCTATACCCACTCTTATTCCTTCCATTATTGGACAGCTGCATCCCTTCCCCCTAATAAGTTGAGTCCAGTTTCCAATATATACCACATCTCTTTGGGTGAGTAGGTGAGAACTGTAAGCTCTTTGAGTGAGTAGATCTGAACAGTAAGCTCTTTGGTTGAGTAGGTAAGAACAGTAAGCTCTTTGTGTGAGTAGATATGAACAGTAAACTTGTACTTAGTCTCTAGAAGTAGGAATCAAGACTCTCAGGCTAAGAGCAGTTCCCGTCGCTTAGGGTAAGAATGTCACAGGTGTAATGCCAGAAAAATATTATTATTAAAAATGCTGCTCTGCCTACCATTAATTAATAAGCCAACATGTTACCTAGCTTATGTACCCATGATGGTGTCTGAGATACTGTAATTATTTCATGTCCTCAGTATAAGGAAATATGAAGCTATCTCAGACACCACATGTCACGTTTTCAGAGTGAGCTAACTTTTTGGCCCCTCTCCTGGTCTTCCTGGAAGGTGCCAGTGTTAGGGCTCAGGTTCCCAGTTGTCATCTCTTTTGGATGGAAACCTGCTTTTTCTCCCCTCCAAACCAGTTTAAGCATGCAGTTCCTTTGCACCTTAGTGTGATTTTCCCAGCAGCTCTGATTGGAGTCCACCTGTGGTTAATTGACCTTTCTCCAAGGGCTTCAACATTGCATACCAATTACTAACCAGCCTTCCCAATGCAAAATATACTTTGTGTAAAAGCATTACAGAGAAAATAGAAAAGCCCCATGAAAATTCTTCTGTTATGCTAAAAACTTACCAGAGGCTACTTATCAATCTTATGGGGCCCTAGTAAGCCAAAGTCATTCCTAAACATAGTCTCTTTGTGCCAAAACCTCTTTCTCTGTGTGTCGGTCTTTTGTGTTATACTTAGACTGTAAGCCCTTTGGCAGTAATACAGATAAATAATCATGATTATAGTGCACAAGTGGAAGCTGATATATTGTTGCCATTATTTATTTGTAGTACCACAGTACCTAAGAGCAGTAGTGACGGCCTAGGACCCCAGAGTACTAGGTGCTGTACAAACACAGAACACAAAGAAATTCTGAGTGCCTTGAAGCTTTTAATCTAAGCAGCATCTCATAAATTGCACTATACCCTGAGTGAAATTTCAGTGTGGAATGTACGGGCTGGGACGTGTGCCTGACATTGCATCTTTCCTGCCTGAGAATCCTGTAATAACAATGGAAATAAAAGAGAAAACACAGGGCAGTTTTTTAAAGCTAGAAGAAATGAGAATTCATGACATCTCTGGGTGTCAACCAGACAGATCTGCTTTTTTTATAGCATGTGTTAATAACATTTTTGGAGCATGCAGATTGTCCTCACATTGTATTTAAACTTCAGCCTACTGTCAAATAGCATAAGATTAAAAAAAAAAAGAAACAATAAGATTAGCCAGAGATTAATAAGAATTGACACTGCATTACTTGGAAAATGTACACAATTGCTAATGCTCATGCTTCATGGTATAAACTGGTCATTGGGATCATTGGTCCAGAGTGTTAATATATTACAAAATAAGATGCATTGGTGGATTCCTATTAGGAAGCCAGTGTTGGTACAGTACACTGAACAAGATCTTTCTGATATGGCAGTTCCTTTCTCTAGAGAAGCAGTATGGTGAAGCTGTCTGAGCACAGAAGAAACTCATGCATTTTAATCTTGACTGACATGGACTTGCTGTGTCAGTGGTCCCCAACCTTTCGGGGCTGCCACGCACCTGGGGGCAGGGCCAGCACCGCGCATGTGCCACACACCCGAGGCAGGGGCCTCGCATGCGCCACGTGCCCGGGGCCAGCACAGCACATGTGCCGTGCACCTGGGGGCGGGGCAAGCCCAGATCATTCTGCAGGCCCACATAAATGCCCCGGCAGGCGCCATGGCACTTGCAGGCACTGCGTTGGGGACCACTGAGGCTATGTGATATTGGAAATGTCCCTGAAACTGCCTGCATCAGTTTTACTATTATACCTTTCATTCAATATTAAATATTGGTAAGAAGACAATTGTGTGCTTATTAATTTGAAGACACTACTGCAGTAGTCTCCAACCTTTTTAAGCACAAGATCACTTTTTCAGTTCAGGTGCAATGTAAGATCTACCTCAAACCCAAATACTCTTGCCCAGCTTCCTTCCTGCCCCTTCCCTGAGGCCCCACTCCTGCTCCACCTCTTCTCTGAGGCCTCACTCTGCTCACTCCATCCCCCTTTCTCCCCAAATCTCATTCACTTTCACCAGGCTGGGTTAGGGGGTTAGGATGCAGGCTCTGGTCTTGGGCCATGGGGTTTGGAGTGTGGGAGGGGATGCCCTGAAAGTAGGGCGGTGGAGTGGGTTCTGGAGTAGCTTAGGAGATACTGCATTTGCCTGGAGCACACAGGATGGTGGGTTTAAGTCCTGTTCCCTTCCCCCCCACCCCCCGGTCTTTCTCTGGGAGGGACCAGACAGCCAACACAGGATAAGGGACTCTCTGAAGGTAGGGAGGTGGGGTGGCTTCTGGGGTAGCCTAGGCAATTTAGGGCATTAGTCTGGGGAGCACAGGGTGGTGGGTTTAAGTCCCATTTTGGCCTCCACCCATTCTGGGAGTAACCAGACAGCCAACACAGGATAAGGGACTCTCTGAAGGTAGGGAGGTGGTATGGTGTTTGACATGGGACAAGGGCATTTGCCTGGGGGAGGGTAGCCAACACCATCTACCCCAGTGATGGAGCTGGCTCTGGCATTAGGAAGGCAGGACAAGGGACTCTCTGAAGGTAAGGAGGTGGGGTAGATTCTGCAGTGGCCTAGGCATCCAAGGCCCTATCCCCACCCACCACAGGAGGGACCCTATAAAGGAAGGGAGGAGAGGTGGGTCACTGGAGTGGCCTAGTAGATAGGGCATTTACCTGGGGAGCACAAGGGGGGTGCCTAGTGGATAGGGCATTTACCTGGGGAGCACAAGGGGGGTGGGTTCAAGTCTCTTGTCTCCAGTCATCCTTATCTCATTGGGACAACCAACATAGGCTGCCTCTGGTATGAAGCAAGCTCCTGCACTAGGAAGTCAAGATAAGGTAGGATTATGGTGTGGTTTATAGGATAGGGCATGTGCTTGGGGAGCATAGGGTGGTGGGTTCAAGCTTTGTTCCATTCACCCACTCAGAGAGTGACCAGTGACCAGATACCCAATACTGGCTGCCCCAGGGATGGACCTTACTCCCACATGAGAAAGGCAGGATAAGGGACCCTTAGGAGGTAGGGTGGGTTCTGGAGTGGCTTAGGGGTATAGGGCATTCACCTGGGGAGCTTGAGTCTAGTCCTTCCTCTGCCCACCCTGGGAGTGACCAGACAACCAACACAGAATAAGGGACCTCATGAAGGTAGGGAGGTGAGGTGAGCACTTGAATGGACTAGAGGCTACAGCATTTGCCAGGGGAGCACAGGGTTTGTGGCTTGAGTCCTACCCACACTGGGAGCAGCAGGACAGCCAACAGAGGCTGCCCAGGGATGGACCTGGCCTCCTACATTAGGAAAGCAGGATAAGGGAACCTTTAAAGGTAGAGAAGAAGTAAGGTGGTTTGTGGAGTGGTAGGGACCCAGGGTGGGTTCTGGAGTGGCCTAGGATATTGGGATCACAGCCCCACTTCAGAATATGATTTGCAGAAATGTTCCATGAGGTGGATGCTAGTTCACCCCTGAAACTCAAGTCCGAAGCGTAACCAGCGCTTTTATATTTCCTTTCATGTCTCCAGCATGCTAAGGTTTTATGTTATTTAAAACAACCTTTCTCCTCCCTACCTCAAAACACCTGAGACTGAATACAGGCAGTCCCCGGGTTACGTACAAGATAGGGACTGTAGGTTTGTTCTTAAGTTGAATTTGTATGTAAGTCGGAACTGGTACATATTGTAGGGGAAACGCTAGCCAAACATTTCTCCAGAGCTCAGTTTTCTTCTCCCACACCTCACTTCCCTCAGTCCTTTATTCTCAAGCTGAGGTGTCTGCTGAGAAAAGCTGCTCCACGTCTCCCTGGTCTGCTGGGGGGAAGCAGCTAGTGCGGGGTTGCCTCACCCCGTTTGTAAGTAGGGATCCGATGTAAGTCGGATCCATGTAACCTGGGGACTGCCTGTAGTGCATTACCCCAACTGAATGTTGTCATATTTGAGGAAGGCCATAATTCCCACAGCTCCTCTTTTCCCAAAGCAAACCAATATGCTTGTAGATGTTACGTTGAAAAAAAATCCCTCCCCTATTAGACAAAGTTATTTGTATCTCATCCAATTATTTATCATCTTTAGACTTCCAGCTGCTGTGGCAATACAAGAAACCACTGCATATCATATTGAAAGATACAGTGTACCAATCCTTCAAGCTGCTGATCCTTGATTATATGAAGATTGATACCCCTCCTTGAAGTTTCAAGACTAAAAATGTCACAGCTGTTGTTGCTGTGGTTGCTGCTAGCTTCAGCCAAAGTGCCTATAATGTAAAAGTGGAGACCTTTGTTTCCAAATGCAGATTTTGAAACTTTACAAAGTTCTGGGTTGTTCAAAGAAAGCCCCAGTGTCCATTTGGGTCCAGCTCAGTGAAAAATCATGTCTCTCTTTCCAGGACATTGAAACATGAATACACATTTAATTGAGTTACCTATTTAATTGTTTTGTACTTTGTGTTACAATGCTTTTGATTGAAAAAAATAAACTATTTGAGATTTAACATCTGCCGTATGTAATTAGTTCCTTTGTATAGCTGTAAACAACAGTGTATATAGTTTTGCATTTAAATAATATACTTAAACTGAATTAATTGTATTCTTGGAAACTTTAATTCAACTGTTCCCCCTTAATCTTGCAGCACTGTAGAAATGGTTTTTATTACTAGTGATATATTGACTTTTCTATTGTCTGATTAAAAAAATCACAGCTTCTCATATTGTGGCTGAAAATTTGCAAGGTTCATACAGAGATTGTCTGTTGTAGCTGGTAAGGCTGTATGTCTCAAAACTGAACTTAACACTAAAACATTGTACACAGATATTTCTTTTCAATGTTTATCCTCCCCTGACACACACAACTAAGGAAACTATTGACTTAAGCTGTTTAGAGATCATCTGTTCCTACTGAGAAAAGCAGTTAAGTATTTCAATGGAATCTGTGGGACCTGAGCATTCACTTAAAGCTAAACATACATTTAGGTGCTCTCCTGACTAGAGGTAAACTTAAACGGGTGTGTAAGTGCTTTCATGAATCTGAGCCATTATGAATATTCCATCTAATACTAAATCTAAATATAAAAAACTAGCACACAGAAGGTATTAACTTTGTTTCCTTTTATAGGTGAGAACTAAACCTGTGGTATTATGAGATATTGGTGAGAAAGTACATGGATTAGTATATAGAAAGGAGATGCTGCCTCGGAAAATAGGTTGATTGCAGTTTCCTGAAGTAACTTTTAATACATAAGTGCTCACATTTGCATTTTTTTGCTCACAAAAATCCATTCACTAAAATTCAAATTAACATGGTTTGTTCAATGCCAAAATTCAGACTTTGGGAAAATAGTTCCACTGAGCTAATCTGTACATGCATATTATCGGAACATATTGTCTTCCTGCTGTCTGATTGTGTCCCCTTTCCAAGAAATGTACAAGTACTTAGAGCACAATGTGTAGATTAAGCATCTGATGTATAATAGTATATTAGGTTAAGCCACCTCCTTCCTAGTGCCTAGTACAGGAAGGATGGCACATTTTAAAAATATTTAGGGCAGAATTAATAAGGCACACAGCACATGGAATGAACCGCAAGGTCTGGGACGCACCTGTCCACAGTAATAGACATTCTGTTAGGATAAAAATGAGACAATATGTTATCAAAGCATCTCCATTTTGTACTAGACTGCATCCGGCATCTTAAAATACCATGTGAAGTATAGGATTTCTTTTTGTTATCACTCAGTTTTTAAAGAGTCTCCGCATGCAGCATCTTTTTGCTTGCACAAGTAGTCACAATGAAACCTACCCATTTCTTTCAGTCTTATCTACCCATTGCGGTGGTTTCTAAAATCAACATTTCTCTCAGAAGGACAAAATTCCTCATCTCTCTCTTAATGATGCCTTCCTGAGTGAGGCAGTTCTTTCTTGTTTTTCTAATGTGAGGCAGTGCAGCAACAGCACCTGCTCCCAGAAATCCTCTTTGCAGAGGACACAGTGACAGAATGTGTAGGGATCCAGTCAGGAAAGGTCACTTGGCACACTATAACAAAGTGCCCTCGGCAAGGTGAAGAGGAAGAAGGGAAAAAGCATGATTTTACCACTGTCACCTGTGGGTTGTCTAGTGTCATTGAATTTAGCATTCCCTCTTGCACACACAGATCCTAAAGCTGTGGGATTCTGGATGTCACCTGCATACGGTGATCCTGCAAAGAGCAAGGCTCCTTGTACTCTTTCTCCCTTGCATGGTTGCACACCAGTGTTCCCTCTAAACTGCTGCAGCACAACTTCACAGGTGATTAAGCAGCCCTACCCCATTAAAGCTCACAGCTCTGGAGCTGACTGACTGGGTGGGGCTGATTCATCACTTGTGAAGCGGTGCTGTCCAGCAGCTTAGAGGCTATTACCCACCATTGACCAGATTCTGCCTTTGAATAGACAGAATCTTCATTATTTTCAAACTTAAAAGCATAACATGAAGCACTCAAGTCCACATTTAGGCTTCCGACTATGTGGGCTGATTTTCAGCACTGGTTAACAATCTTTGAACAGCTGATGGGTGAATCTCTAAAACTGGGTTTCCCAACCTATGGGTCGGGACCCAAATATGGGTTGCTATTACATTTCAAAAGGGTCACCAAGTGTCTCCCTAGGTGGCTCTGCCTCCCTTCCTTCCCCCGTTTTTGAATTGTCTTGGGTCACTAAGTCTTCCTGAATTGTCAAAATGGGTCCCCATCTGGAAAAGGTTGGGAGCCGCTGCTCTAAAAGCAAGTCTCTTGTCTAAGAGTTTAACTTTAAGCACCCAAGTTTTAAAATGTTGAACATATTTAATTTACAATTAATTGAGAAGAGTGTATTTGCCATACTTCATTGTTCCATGTGAAAATAGATCAATCTGGTTGTAAACATTTTCCTCAGTGATGTTTTCTCTTATTGTTTCAGTCATTAAATATACAATGTGCTTCATAGTATCAAAAAACAAACATACATCAGTATAATTGTAATTTTGCTAATGTTACTTTTTCTAATTATTGTTCACTAGAAAACTACAAATTAATGGAATCATTAAGACATGCAATTAATCTACCTACATGTGCATTAACTTGTATTTTTCTTTTCTTTTATTTGTTTGATTAAAGTTTTAAAATTGCCAGAACATATGGAATTTTATTAAATAAGCTTGTTTACCATTATGTGCTTATGGTTAGAAAAGTGACTACACTGAAATTATACTTTCTCTGGATTGCATTGTCTTCCTGTGTATTTTTGAATTTTAGCTGCATGCTTACTGACTAAAATAAGTTTGCATTCCCATTACCATCTCAAACCTGGGATAATAAACTAGATTATCCCCCCATCCACGCATTTTCAATGACATTGTAAGCCACAGTCCAGTGAGAGAAGCAGGAATAGCAGCATAATTTTCAGATTTCACCTAGAGTGTGTGGTACTGCCAGTTACAAAAATCAGGCCAAAGCCTAATCTCATTGACCTATGTGAAGGATTTGGCCCATCTTTTTCATTGTAAAGTGTACTTATTTGAGGGCTTATCTCTTTTCCCTGCATTGGTGTAAAACTACCATAAATGAAAGGAGAATCAAGTCCCTACCCTGGGGATTTTTATGGAGACCAAATATGGAACCTCCCAGTGTTATTTTACCATCATTTATCTAACTGCAACTGTGCTATACATTTCAGAAGTCTTGAGGCTTGTTGAAGATAGGGGCAAAAAGATCTGCCATCAACAGATGCTGATGATTACTTCTCTGTTTTCTCACAGGCTCTTCAAATCACCACAGCCAATCAACACTGAGGCCACCTCTCCCACCCCCTCACAATCATACACTGTCTCATCATCACTCTTCTGCCAACTCCCTCAATAGAAACTCTCTCACAAATCGACGCAACCAGATCCACGCACCACCTCCTGCACCAAATGACTTGGCCACCACTCCTGAGTCTGTGCAACTGCAGGACAGCTGGGTTCTCAACAGCAATGTGCCACTGGAGACCAGGTAGGTCACCAGGAATGGTCATCAATTGGACTGCACTAAAAATACACAGCACAGTCTCAATTAGCTGAATGCCATGGGAATGTTGAATAAGCTTGGGTAAATGAGATTTCATACGACTGAGGGAATTTACAGTGTAACTAATAGACATGAGAGTACGTGTTTCAGATAGCTGGGAGTTGGAAGCTCAAGGCTGCCTTATACTGAAAATATTGCAACATTATATAACCAGGTATCAAATCAAATCAACTGCATCGAAAAAGAACAGCTAGGAAAATGCAAATGAATTTGATTTTTAAAAGATATATTTATTGACTTTATGTCAGTTTATCTTTTGCCTATCACAACATTAATATATGTTTAGTTTAGAATATCTCTTATTCACATGGCAGTGATAAATGGACAATTAGACATCTCTTTGTTCACATGTCTCTTGTTTTAATACTTGTTTATTCATTCAGACAGCTATTGTGTACCTAACTAATAGAATTAGCATAACATATTTTTACTCCAAAGCTCAGGGGGAACTTACTTATAAGGGTATATTGACTATCACTAATAAATTATGCATTTGGCCTATCCTGAAGTAATAAATGAAGACTCATTTGAAATTAAGCGTTTTGGGAGACCTTGAGAAACAAACCCTGATTCAAGATTGACAGAAGTATAATTTTAATTTATATTTCATCCAACATGCAGACTTGCTTTAATCCCTCCCGTACACATTAGCAGCTTGATGCCTGTGGGGTACACTATTATGTAGAAGAAGAAGAAAAAAAGAAAAAGAAGAGGGAGAAAAAAAGTGCAGCACTTATGATTGCCAAAATAAATCAATACAAAAAAAGTTTTCTGTCATACTGCATTTCTAAACATTCAGTTTCATTGTCATTTTTTATTCTTCATTCATCTTAATTCTAACTTATGCTTTAAATATGAAGAAACACTGGCAAAGCTGGTCTCCTGGAAATTAGAAGGAGCAACTGTCGTGATGCATGTGTGAAATGGCACTTACCTACAGCTCCTTCTGTCCACTCCTATCTTTTGAGTGAGCAGGCTGGTCATTGAAACATACAGGTCTTATCTGAGAACAACATAGAGCATTGTCTTGTATCTGCAGTTGCTGGATACCCACAAGAATAAATGAAGAAGTTATTGTACTTTAT